CAGCTCTGAGAGAACTGGTGACTGACCCGGGGTGACCTGCCAGGCTGTGTGTGGGGGAGGAGTGGGGAATCAAGCCCGGTTCTCCAGATTAGAGTCCGCCACTCTTAACCACCACACCAAACTGGCTCTTTGTTTGGCCCCCTCAGGGCAACCCAGAAAGAGAGAAAGAAAGGAAGAAGGTGGCTGGCAACATAAGAGAAGGAAAAGATCTAGACAGACGGTATAGGTATATATAAAGATTGAAAAGGAAAAGGGGAAACCATTTTGCAGAGCTAAGTTAAAGAAAGGACTCCACATCTGGAAGGCTGAGGTCTACTAGCACAGTCCCATACACTGTGGCACCCAATCATATAACAAGGGCCCTACTGGATCAGGCCAGTCATTTGTCTAGTCCAACATCCTGTTTCACACAGCAGAAAACCAGTTGCCCTGGAAGGTCAAACAAACAAGGCATAGAAGCCAAGGCTTTCTCCTGATGTTGCCTTCTAGCGCAGGTAGGCTTGCCAAGTCCCCCCGGGTGGCGAGGAAACCCCCGCCCCAGAGGTCCGTTCCCCGCCACCGGCTGATTGGGCCCCGGGGGGAGCCCCACCCCGACGTGCGCATCACATGAAAGTGATGCGACCACGCCGGGCACGCTGGGGCCACGGTCATGCTGGGGCCACGGTCATCCGAGGGAAAACTGCTCCAGACGTCAGCCGGGAGCCCCCCGCTGCAGCGCAACACCCGACTTGGCAACCCTACGCAGGGATTCGGATATATACTGTCTCTGAATGTGAAGGCTCCCTTTAGTCACTTTGGGTAGCAGTTTTTAAGCAATAAAAAAAAAATCACAAGGAAGGAAGCTTCACTGAAACCACCAAACCAGGTGTCATGATCTGGGCTGTGCCACCAGAGGCCTATACTAGGCCCAGGGAGCCTGGCGAGCAGTAGGTGAGGCTGGGCCTACAACTCCCAGAAGCCCCTGAAAGGTTCTGGAGTCAAAAATGACCAATAGGAAAAGAGGAGGGCTTAGAATAAAAGATCTGGAGCACCAGGAAAAGCTGTTGTTCTTCCCAGGAGCCAGAGCCAGAAGGGACTGAGGCTGCTGTGGAGAAGATACCCTCCTCCTGAGGGAAGAGTGAGTAGTCTAGTGCCACTTGGAATAGTGACCTAGGGACAGTGTATATTTAGACACATTAGGACATTTGATTTCTTTTCTTTTCACCCACTTACTGTTATTATTCTGCACCTTGTTGTTTGACCTCCTATAAAATAAACTATTTTCATTGTAGACTGTGCCTGGTCCTCACGCCTATTATTCGGCCAAAATGGAAGTCTGAAGGTCTTGGGAAGGTGCTCTGGGCCTTCTCAAGGGAACCTAAATCCAGAGTGGTGGCAGCGTCAGGTGACACCCCACCTGAGTCATGACACCAGGGCTTGTGACCCACCAGCCAATAAGAATTCACTGTTTGCTGGTGAGTCACGACTCTTGGTTTGGTGGTTCCTTACCTGTGATTTTTTTAATAGATTCCTTGGAATACCAGCAGTCGGGAGACAGGGGCAGACTTTATTCAGTCACTTCTCTGAATATCCTCCCGGCCCCCAGTAGGGGTCAGTCACCAGAGGTCGCCATGACTTCCAGGCATATACACACACACGAAAAAAATTACAAAAAAGAATTTACGGTTCAAAGTGGCTTTGCCAAACACAGTTTGGCACAGTATCTATACAAGCAAGGTCAGTGACAGCAGCTGCTCTGCCTCTGGTGGCTCTTGCATAATGGCGATAGGAGTGAATAAGGACTCTTTTTGTAGCAGGAACTCCTTTGCATATTAGACGACACACCCCTAATGTAGCCAATCCTCCAAGAGCTTACAGAGCTCTTCTTACAGGGGCTACTGTAAGCTCTTGGAGGATTGGCTACCTTAGGGGTGTGTCGCCTAATTTGCAGAGGAGTTCCTGCTACAAAAAGAGCGTTTCAGGTGAGCAGATCAGCAGAGCAGACCAACACCTCTGAACAACAACGGTACGCCTTTTACACATGTGGCTAGCTTGTTTTGGAAACTCTGGTTTGCACAAGCCACGGTTTGGTGAGGCATTGGGACTGAACCATTTTGCACATCACTTCTGTCTACTTTGTAACCTAATAGCATGAGCGCACAGGAGCAGAGCTCTGGCAGTAAGGAACCCAGGGGGCGGGCACATGCAACAAGCCACACCCCCTGCTCCCAGCAGCCCTCAGTCAGAGCAGGAAGCAGCCAGGTAAGTTGCAGAGCCCTCCCCTGCCCCCCAGTCCAAAACAGTCCAGTGGCACCTTTAAGACCAAGTTTTATTCAGGTACAAGCTCTCCCTCCTCCGTGAGGACAGATCTGCACGTCCCCCCCCCCAATAGCTAGCAATCCAAAACAGTCCAGTGGAGCCTGAGCAGTGGGTGTTGCCTTCTAACACACTTCTGGTGATGTCAGGGGGTGTGGCTTATGCAAATAAGGTATGCTAATGAGTTGTGCTAATGAGCTCCTGCACCTCTTTTTCTACGCAATGACCCCTGCCTAATAGCCAAACAAAAAAAGCACACACTTACCCCTGGAGTATCATTCAGGAAAATCCTCAGGTCTTTGAAATTGCTGGTCACCAGGCTCTTCGCTCCCTTAACTTGATTTGTAAGGTGCTGGTTAGCAGCGTAAGCAATAAGTACTCCAATACTGTTGGGAAGGGGAAGAAGATTTTTACCTTCCTTACGCAAGGATACCTTGATCAGATTTCAGATCAGAACAAAATTATCAACATCCACACAAATGACAGGCTCTGGTGCCGAATTTGAAAGATACAGTTCATTTCTAACCATCAGGTGGTGCTGTAGAACCAGACAGAAGGTGTTTTAGGTCTGTGTTAATTATTTACACTCTTGAGCGATGCCAGAGAGTAGTTTTAGCTTAAAATTTTCAAAAATACTTAACCTAAACGGCAGATTCAAGGCATGCACAGACTAACTCCCTTGATTTGCGATTACCATTTCACAGAGGGGGAAAGATATGTTTTTAAAGGGCATGCCTTTTCTCCTTTAAAAGGCTAACAGCAGAGCAAAGGAGCCAGTTTCAAAAAGCAAAACCAAGTAGAAGTCGAAGGGTTAAGCATTCTCTTTTCCCTGTACAATTCACAGGCAAACTGAGGCTGCAGGAGCCTGAAATTTTCATGTTAGAACTGCAAGGAGATGTGTACGCTTCTGCTAATCCATTCCAGCAGTCAGAGAACAAATAAGACAACTGAGAAGATGAGAGACTGCTCTTATCAGTAGCCTTCTAGTCAGGCCAATTGTTGATCTAGCTCAATATCGTTTGCTCTGTCTGGTAAGCAGCTTGCGGGGCTCAATACGACCTGACACTCCTCGGCAAAACCGGGATGAACTATTCACAAATCTGGTTCAACATTCACACAGCCAGATTTATCCAACGTGCTTGTCAAAAGTTTTCTCCTCCCAGGATACAGTGGATTAGAACGGGGACATGCACGGAACCATTAATTCGGCCTCACATCCACACATAACAAACAGTTGTTTTGTACCTCACAACAAAATTAGTGGGCTACATGAAATTCTTTTTTTATTTTTTTTATTTTTTTGTATTTTGGGTGTGGGTGTGACTGTGTGTGTGTGAGAGCACCGGGAAGTCATGGCAACCTAGGGTTGCCAAATCTGGATCGTCCGGGAGCAGGGGGCTCCCGGACGATCCTGGGTGTGTGCGCGCGTGCGTAGCGCACGCGCGCAGCGTGCACATCACCCGGAAGTGACGTCGCACGCTGGGGGCGGGGCCACTCTTTGTTTTCCCCTCAAATCGTGTGGCCCCGCCCCCAGCGTGCGAGGTCACTTCCGGGTGACGCACACGCGGGGGTGGGGTTTCCCCCGGGCTCGATTCCGGCGCGCCGGGAATCGGGGCTCCGAAACGGGGGATTCCCCGCCCCCCGGCAGCATTTGGCAGCCCTATGGCAACCTCTGGTGACTGACCCCTACTGAAGCCACACCCACTGAGAAAGCCCAAGTGAGGGGTAATTTCTTTAAAACACTGGGAAAGAGCAGTGAGGGGAACTAAAACTAACACTGTAGAAGCAGGAGTTGCTGAAACGACATTATTTTAATCTGCACAGCCAATCAGATCCACGGAGGCCAACGAGAAGTCCTCCTGGGCACGAGCCCCACCCACTCTGACAGGAAAGGTGTTTGTGGTTGTCATGGCACCCGTGGGCATTGAGGTGGGGGGGAACCCCTGTTTTATGAGTACAAATGGGTTTTAAAAGATGGACTGGGAATAACCCGCAAATGCCGCTCAGCAATGTATTTGCTGAATCCTGTGTCAAGCTCGGGCCTTGCTTGTCATAGAAGCTTGACATCCTGTAGATTAGGAAGCCCCCAAGGAACCTGTGCCCAAGGGTTAACAAACACCTCCCTGCTACAAGACTGGCTCTTGCCTTCCAGTAGAGCAAGAGCCTTCAAGTGTGCTGTTCCAGCAAATCTCCTCTGGAAAGCCAAGGGACAGTCCCTGACATCCAAAGGGTGCCAATGATTTCAAATGTGGCTTTGTCAAGCCAGATGCCTGGTAAAAAAACAAAAACAAAAACCCCTCTCTGTTTTTGGCTGCTTCTGCAAAGAGAAATTTCACAATGGGCTGACAGAGGAAAAGTGAAAAATGTATTTCCAATTCACGTAGCTAGAATTACAGTAGCGGCATTTGTTCTTTGGAGGACATTGTTCCGTAGGTTGTCAGCTTACAGTACAAAAAGCCAGAAAACTCAATGTACCAGGAAAGTACTTTGGGGGGAAAAACTTCAAAATGAGAAAATAGCAAGGTGAAACTCTGACAAGTAGAAAGAGGCTTTCTCTCAAAGGCTGGAACACAAAACGGTCGCCCTAGTGAATCCATTTGTGAAGACTGTTAAAAGCCGAGCTCTCCTTCATAAGAGTTGAAAAACAGAAAATAAAACTGTCAACTCTTTATTAAAGAAAGAGACTGCAACCAGATACTTCGGTTACCTGAAATTTGGAGAGTCTCCTATTTCAACGCAGAAGTCAATTTTTGGGGTTGCTTTTCCGTGGGGTTATGTTCAGTCACAAGATACTATGGAATTATGTATTTTCTTATAAATTCATAAATGTGCTGCAACTTGTGCCATTGGAAGTGCACGGTCCTGAAAGAAATCTATGCTTCAAACCCTGCTTCTCCTCACACCGCCTTCCCACCTGGGGGGTGCCGCAGTAACTCGTGCGCATGCGCGCAAACTTCCTCCGCCTGGGAACTTCCCTAGCCCCTCCGCTCTACCTAACGTGGGGGGGGGGCTTGGACTCCCAATTATGTGTCAG